TTAATATTTTGTTATATATATTTGACCAAAGTTAAAAAAAAAGTTAACTTGTCGAGAGGTGAGAACATCTTTTCTTTTGGCACGAAGGGGAGTACTATACTAATGTACAGTAAGCTTTTGTGAGGGGATGAGAGGCAGAGGCAATAATCGATGATGACCACACTGACACACGCCTAACCGCTTCTACACGGAAGGTGACCGTGGACTGAGGTCGTTAGTCAGCCGATGAGACGACCGATCCATTACATATGCAATGAGTTAGAACATCTAGTGGCACTTTGATAACCACATTTGATAATGAATTTCGCTTCTCTTTATAGTACGGCTATCAATCCTAAATATACTCACACCCTCTATGGGGTCTTGAGTGCCAAAAACAAAATGGCCCTATCAAGTATACCTTTGCCTTGAGCCCATTTTGTTTTTCTCTTTCTTCTTTTCAAGTTGGAGCACTTGAACATCATAGCCAACCACTCCTTTACCTTGGCCGATCACTCCAAAGTACAGCCGACCACACGCCAACCACTCAAGTGCCTTGCCAACCACACTAGTGCCATAGCCGACCACATAAGAGTTTTGGCCGAGCACACTAGTGTCATAGCCGAACACTCAACTTGATCTTGGACCAATCCTTTCTTTGCTACACACACTTAGCACTTAGGTTAGTCCAAATAGGTTTCATCAATTAGCCAAAACCAAACTAGGGCTTTCACACGGCAAAGCCAAAAAAAACACTCGGCAAACAGCACACGGTGTACACAGTGCCGACAAAAGTTTCTTTGCCGAGTGTTTTTTATCGGGCACTTGGCAAAGACTTTGTCGAGTGCTAAAACTGACGCTCGGCAAAAAAAAACAATGTGACGGCGCAGAGACGGTCAAGGCGTGTTTGCCGAGTGTCTAACGGCCTGGGCACTCGGCAAACATGCCCTTGTTTGCCGAGTGCCCCGGCCATGACACTCAGCAAACATGCCTTTGTTTGCCGAGTGTCCAGGACCTGACACTCGGTAAACATGGCTTCTTTGCCGAGTGTCACATCCCAGACACTCGGCAAAGACTGGCCATTCTAGGCCTAGATTTTGGCCTCTTTGCCGAGTGTCACAGTGACACTCGGCAAAGATGGTCATTTTAGGCCCAGAGCGCACAAATTTTTGCCACGTGGCCTCTTTGCCGAGTGTATTTAGCATGGCACTCGGCAAATAGCCCTTTTGCCGAATGTAACACTCGGCAAAGATACCATGTATATCTAGTTTATTTGGTTCGGTCACATATAACGTACCACACTCAAATAAACATTACATCCATTACAGATAGTTCACAATAAGCATCACAGGTAGTTCATACAGATATATCGACGACACATAAATGCAAATAAACTTTAGAATCACAAGTAGGTTCATTCACAATCACAAATGCAAATAAAATTCACATTCACAAGTAAGTTTGTTCACAGTCGCTCTCCAGGCTCATCAGAAATACAAATAAATGTAGTCACTGTGACCACGGTGACCACTGTGACAACGGTTGGTCATAAGGCTCATTCGATGCCGCAGATTGATTCTGCACAAAGGAGAAGAGATAAATCATTCACAGTGATTGAGAACGAAACATACAAGTATTAGAAATAAACTAGCGACTAGAAATAGTAATTAATTCTGCGGAAACTAAAAGTAGCTAAGTTACAGTGATTGAGAATGAAACAGTGATTACAAGGTTAACTACAAACTAGAAATAAACTAGAAATTAGAAACTAGAAACATACGCACATCACAAAGGAGAAAAGATTGATTTTGCATAAATTAGAAACCATGATTATAAGGTTGTAAAGTGACTCACACTGCCAGACACAGTATTTGGAGCAGATTGAGGAGGAGGGACTGGTATCGGTGGCGGAGGATGACCGATTGTAGTGTAAACACCCCACATCATTTCAAACATCTGTAGCCGCTCTGCCTCCATCCTCTGCCGCTCTACCTCCATCCTTGCCTCGAGCTTCTCCTGGAGCCTCGTTTCTTATCCAGCTGAGCCTACAATATTTCATTTCAATGTTACAATGCAATGCAAAAGTATGTAAAAATCAATGAACGATGAATAAAATAGAAATAACGTGGAGTGCGTCCATCTGGAACCGTGGAGAGTACGGTCGTGGGCGTATCGCCGGGCTGGAACTCGTGCTCCGTGCTCGAAGCTAGGAGAGAGTGGGAGTACCGGCCGTGTCGATTGTGATGTCGCCAATCTAGAACCGGCCATGCTTCTTGCTTCCTTCCGCCCTCATGACCACTTCTCCATCAAGGTCATGGGTGCTTGGATCGTACTCTGGGGATAGAAGGAGCCGCCATACCTGTGTTGGTGCTCGTCGCCAGCGATGGGTCTGACGAGGAACTGGTGAAGAGACGCGTTGAAGAGCGGCGGCGGCGGCGCAGGGGGTCAAGGGCAGGGGCGGCGTCGGTGGGGCTGGGGGCCAGGGGCAGGGGTCGACGTCAGCCGGGACCGGGGGCAGGGGGTGGCGCCGGGGGTTGGAGGCCGACGGCGGTGGGGGCAGGGGGTAGGCACGGTGTGGGCGTGGGCATGGGCGCGGGAGGCCGGTGGCGGGAGACAGGCGGCGCGGGCGATAGATGTGCCAGCGGCGGCGGCCCGGCCCGGGCGTGGGCGCAGGAGGTGCGTGTGTGCGGGTGAGGGAGCGACGGGCTGGATATGAAGAAGGTTTGCTGAGTATCGGATCGGGGCACTCGGCAAAGTTCAGTGTCGGATCGGGGCACTCGGCAAAGCCCAGCTTTACCGAGTGTCAAATGGGGCACTTGGCAAACCCTGCTTTTTTCATTTTCCTTCTTTTCCTTCTTTTCCATAACGTGTTTTTTTTTATGTACTTTGAAAATACCTTGTCAAATTGACTCAACAATATATATTTGATTTTTCTACGAATATTATTCCATTATTTTATGCAGTTGCAGCTCAAATTTAATCTATATCAATTAAAATTCTATAATTGCACTTAATAAATTAAAATTATCAAACGGATCAAAAAAATTACCAAAATTTCACATGAAACAATCTATGTTCTCTATTGCCTATACAAAAGGTTTTGAAGCCAAACCCTAATTCGCTTTGAATCCAAATCTTACCGGATCCTTCTCAACGCTACGATCCTTCTTGTGAGATGCTTCGGTTTGTAAACATCGTACGTGAAAAATTGTGCGAAACCTTCTCAATTTTTTACCACAGCCTCCATGTATGATATCATCACATCATGACAAATCTCATGATTTTCAGACTTCGTTTGCTTTTTTTAGAATTTAAAAACCAACCGGTCACACGTTCGTGGTCGTGTTTTCTGAACAAGATGTTCGATTTTTTTTATTTCCGGGTAAGGCCACACACTGGACTCAATAAAATGAATATCATTCTTCTACTCATTTTATTCTATTATTTGAATCACTTGTTGTTCAAATTTGACTTATACCAAAAAATTCCTAGAAATGCAATAAAGTAATTAAATATAGCAAACAGATCCAAAAATATATCAAATTTTAGCATGGAATACCACATGTTGTATGTGGAGAGTAGAAAAATTTTCAAGGTCAGAAGAGAAAAAAAAAGAAATTATTTGTCGAGTGTCACATGTCTACACTCGGCAAACATATTTCTTTGCCGAGTGCCACAGGTTTAGCACTCGGCAAACATATTTCTTTGTCGAGTGCCTCCCTTTGCCGAGTGTTTTTTGTCTCTTTTGTTGAGTGTATTTGTTTGCCGAGTTTTCCACTAACGGACACTCGGCAAACGTACTAACAGACGGCACACGTACTGATGGATGTGGACTTTGATGAGTGTTTTTTTCTCGTTCGCCAAGTGCCAAACTTTGCTGAGTGTTTTTTTGCCTCTTTTGCTGAGTGCAATTATTTTACCGAGTGTTTTTGTGACAGCACTCGGCAAATGGCTTCTTTGTCGAGTGCCCGATAGAATGCACTCGGCAAATATTTTAGCACTCGGCAAACACCCAGTTTCCGGTAGTGGTTGTTACCATAAACATACACCTGAATTAAGTAAACAAAAAGACAGTACAGGAAACCTTGTTGACGACCATAGAAACAAACAGATGGAGAGGAGGCACCCAAGCCAAGCAATTAGCGTCCTGTCTCTCCTCGTCGACGGGGTGCAACGTGGAGGCCATCAGCGCGGCGCTTTTCCTTACGCGTCGAGAAAATCAATCAATCAATCAACTAGTACTGTAAACTCGCTCCGTCCGTTATGGGATGCGTACTGATCAAACTCTTTTAAGTTTGACTAGATCTATAGAAAATATTAACAGCATTTATATCTTCGAATAAATTTATTATGAAATATATTCAAGGATTTATCTAATAATACTAATTATGTATTATAAATATTAATATTTTGTTATATATATTTGATCAAAGTTAAAAAAAAAGTTAACTTGTCGAGAGGTGATAACATCTTTTCTTTTGGCACGAGGGGGAGTACTCTACTAATGTACAGTAAGCTTTTGTGAGGGGATGAGAGGCGGAGGCAACAATCGAATCGATGATGACCACAGTGACACACGCCTGACCGCTTCTACACGGAAGGAGCGCCTGACCGCTTCTACACGGAAGGAGGTCGAGTCGGCAGCAGATGAGAGCGAGACGACAGATCCATGACCGGGACGCTGGCCGACGGAGGAGTGCACGTGGGCCTTCACGCAGATGCCTGACCGCTTCTACACGGAAGGTGACCGACGACCTCAAGTATGTTGACCTCTCTGGCATACCATTCTATGGTGGCGTGTACTCTTACAGGCAAATGAGCCCATCTTACAGGCAGATATCCATGAGCCCACCCAATCCGCGTAGGAGTGCGCAGATGCCTGACCGATCTGCGGTATCCTCTGCATCCGTCTACTATAATAATAACACTCTCACTCCAGAACGGATCGACTCTGACTCCAGAACTGATATATCCTGCCATTCTCTTCTACCATAGCGACATTATTGTCGATGGTTGCCACCATGCATCGCCTAGCTGCTGCCAAGCTCGTGTTGCTCTGCTGCTGCTGCTGCTTGTTCCTCGCCACGCAGCAGCAGCAGCAGCTCCAGCCAGCCGCCGGTGGTAACAGAGCGAGCCCGAGCTGCATACCACACGAGAGGGACGCCCTGCTGGCATTCAAGCACGGCGTCACCAGCGACCGTCGCGGCGTCCTCAGCTCGTAGCGGCGAGACGGTCGCCACGACGAGCAAGACTGCTGCCGGTGGAGAGGCGTCCGGTGCAGCAACCGAACTGGCCACGTCCACGAGCTTCGACTTGGAGGTGGACGCACCTTCCGACCAGATTTGGTCGGCCAGATAAGTCCTTCTTTGCTGGCTCTGGATCACCTAGAGCACCTTGACCTCAGCTGGAATGATCTAGCAGGGCCAACGGGTCGTCTTCCCGAGTTCTTGGGCTCTCTAAAGAATCTCAAGTATCTTAACCTCTCTGGCATACCATTCTACGGTGGCGTGCCTCCCCAGCTTGGCAACTTGTCAAGGCTGCAGTATCTAGATCTTTCCATCTGGAGAGGCACGAACTCAACGGATCTCTCATGGTTAACACACATTCCTTCCATACAATATCTTAACTTGGACGGAGTGAACCTCAGCACAGTAGCGGATTGGCCTCGTGTCATGAATATGCTTCCTTCTTTGAGGGCCCTCCATCTTTCACACTGCTCTCTTGCAAGCGCAAACCAGTCGCTGCCACACCTGAACCTTACAAATCTCGAGGAGCTCGATGCCTCCAGGAACTCCTTCCACCATCCAATGGTGACCAGCCGGTTCTAGAACATAACAAGCCTTAGATTCCTTTACCTCAGCTACACTAGTATGTACGGTCAATTTCCGGATGCTCTGGGAGACATGACATCCCTGCAAGTCCTTGATCTTTCATCTAATTATTATGATGATGACTATGACGATGGGAAGGACCGCATCATGACCATGGATCTGAAGAATCTATGCAATTTGGAGGTTCTCAACCTTGATTTCTCTCACTTATATGGCAACGTAGCTGAGTTGTTTAGGAATCTACCTCGATGTTCACCCAACAAATTGCAAGAATTGGACCTCGGTTCGAACCATTTAACCGGGATGTTACCAAGATGGATGGGGCAATTCATGAGCTTGGTTGTTCTGAATCTAGGTGGGAACTACATCACAGGACATGTTCCATATGAGATTGGTAAGCTTAGTAATCTGACCCATCTGTATCTATATGCAAATAAACTGGATGGCACGATAACTGAGGAACAATTTGCTAGTGCAAGGAGCTTGCAATGTATAGACTTGTCATATAATGCCCTGAAGATTGAGATCAGCTCGGACTGGCAACCACCATCTACATTAGAGTATGTATACTTTGCATCCTGCCAGATGGGCCCACTGTTTCCTGGGTGGCTTCAGTGGAATGTGAGCATCACCGATCTTGATATCTCGAGTGCAGGTATAGCTGATAGGCTTCCACAGTGGTTCTCCGATGCCTTTTCAAATGCCAAATTCATGAACATCTCCAACTATCAACTCAACGGAACTTTGCCGGCTGATATGGGCTCCATGTCACTTCTATACCTCGACCTCAGTTCAAACAAATTAACTGGTCAGATACCCACGCTGCCACCAAACATAACGTGGTTGGACTTATCCAATAACTTGTTGTTAGGACTCACTGGTCACTCTGCTGTTGGATCCGTCAATCTAGAATCATTGTCTTTGTTCTCCAACCGACTCACTGGTCATATTCCTGAATCTTTTTGTAAATATCAGCAATTATTTGTGTTGGACTTGTCCAAAAAAATTTTGGAGGGAGAACCACCGTTGTGCCTCGGGGTAACGGAATCTATGGGATTTGTAGCCTTAAGTAACAATAGTTTGTCAGGAAAGTTCCCGTCTTTTCTGCAAAACTTGACAAATGTGCTCTTCCTAGATTTGTCTTGGAATAAATTCTCTGGAAGATTGCCAATGTGGATTGGAAGCTTAACATCATTAAGAGTTATACGATTAAGTCACAACAAGTTCTTTGGTAGCATTCCAATGAACATCACAAACCTTTCTTGCCTTCAGTACATGGATCTAAATAACAATAAGATATCAGGCTCTCTGCCGATCTACCTATCAAATCTTCAATTTATGACAAACACATCCATGATGGGTTGTTATGTCGGCAATGGGACAATTGATACTGATCTTAATAGTTTGTCTACAGTCTGGAAGGGGCAGGAATTGAACTATGGTTCCATTCAAAGAATTTTCGACACAAGGATGATGAGCATTGATTTATCTTCAAACAACATAACTGGACAAATTCTAGAAGAAATAGTTGTTCTTGATGCCCTTGTGAATTTGAATCTATCAAGGAACCACTTGACTGGAGTTATTCCAAAGAAGATCGGGGAAATGCGATCACTGCAATCATTGGACCTCTCGAGGAACATGCTTTCAGGGGAAATACCAGCCACTCTGTCAAATCTGACGTTCTTAAGTTACTTGGAATTATCATACAATGATCTTACAGGAAGAATTCCATCGGGAGTACAGCTTGATACCCTCTATGCAGAGTATCCATCTATGTACATTGGCAACGTCGGTCTTTGTGGACATCCTCTTCAAAACAATTGCTCGAGCGAGCGTCCTGCACCAAAGCAGGGTGGCCTGGGAAGAACTGAAGAAGGTTATGGGATACCATTCTTTTATCATGGACTCGGGTACGGCTTCGTGGTTGGTACATGGATTGCATTTGGTGTTTTGTTGTTCAAGAGAAACTGGAGAATTGCTTGCTTTAGACTCTCGGACAAGTTGTACGACAAAGTATATGTCCTTGTTGCTACATGGGCAAGAGCAAGACAAACACAAACTGATTAGCAAGCATGAAGCAAAGGCGATGGTCGGCGCTTCAACTAAAATTAGCCAATGCATGCATGTATGAATAATGGAAGTGGGAGAGAAATCGGTTCAGGAGTGCTTTGAATCTTGTTACTACCAGTATTACATATTGCCATGGTTTTCTTTACGAAATGAAGATTTGTGTGTCCGTGTTCATCTCTTATATCATGTAATAAACTGAGAACCAACACTTGATCATTGGCCAACATTAGTGTTTGTTGTACAAGATAGATATTAGTTGTTAGTATATAGATAACATAAGTATGTTGTAAACTCTGGCTGATCTTCAGGATGTTGGTTTGTAGTCTATACAAGACGTTCGCTTGGTCAGCTCAGGGCGCTATATAACACGTAGACGCGGGCTCTACAGAGGTTAACACGCTTCACCAAGTTTTATAGTAATAATTATTTCCTTATGATGATGAACATTAAGACATGGTCAATCAATTCCATGTAGCGCTTCAGGAGGCACTACATCATTGGTCCCTGTGGGCCATGGTAGTCGGATCCGACAACCTGAATACGACCTATCGTTGCATGTTCCAAGCTCATCGTCCACATTAGGGCTTGTTTGGCTGCTCCCGTATCCACCTTAGTCCACGTGGGTTGAAGTGGATTGAGGTGAATACAATGTGCAGCCAAACAAGGCTTGGCGTGCCATGGAATTTCAGTGTACCTAGGCGAGGGATGATATGAATCAAAATATCATGGTCTCATCTGCAACCAAAGTGTTACATATAAGCAACAATCACTTACCATACACATTGAACAAGAAAGCAGAGAAGAAGGAAAGCAAATTTCTCAGAAATTGAAGAGCCCAAGACATGAGCACCGCTTAACTGGTGGAGCAGTAGTATACTACTACACCTGCAGTACCGCTACCTACAAACGGGAGAGCGCTGCTAGTCAAATCTCAAATGGGGTGCAAAATGACCTGGGGATAGTACTCCAGGCACAATTGAGATGATGACTTTTTATGATCAGGCAAATAAAAAAAATAAAGTTTTCATAAAAAAAATAAAAATAAAGTTTATATATAGTCACCAGCATGATCTTTGTTACGTACCATCGCAAGGGAATAATCATGTTCAACCTGCCACACTCGACTCAACACAAAACTGCTAATATGGTCATAATAACAAAACGAAAACTGAACCACGAAATGATGATGGTCCGGTTCTTGTTCTCTTCATCATAGACGAAAAGCAACACATAAGGCAGTCTAAGATGATAAGCAAATGATTTATTCACAGCTCTAAACAAGTTATAAACTAAATCAGGCACCAAGAAAAAACAAGAACGCAACTTCACCCAAAGGCTACAGATCGAACTGTGTAACCTTTATAGAGTAAATCTTAGCAATTCCAACTTTCCAACAACCAACGGCCACTTGCAGGTTGCAACGGCTGCTGCTGCATCTCTCCCTTCCATAGCTACCTTTTAGGCTTTTACATACCACATGCTGGGACTTGGACAGCGCTGGCATCGTCGCCGCCCTGGGCGCGCCCCTGACCGGCCGTGGCCCACGGGGCTATTTTTCCAGTGGAGCGAGACGACGACGTCTGCGAGCCGGCTTTCATGCATGGACAGCGCCAGCGACGACAACGCCCTGGGCCTGTCGGCCCTGTCCGCCCGCGGGGTAGTTTTTCCAGCGGAGCCGGAGGGAGACGACGGCCGCGAGGTGGCTTTCACTGACAACAGCGCCGGGGACGCCAACGTGAGCCGCCAGCGCTTGACGCACGGCGCGAGGTCGTCGGCGGGCCCGAGAGTACGTGGCGACGGTCCTCTTGACGGCGGCGGTCCCGTTGGTGTTGAGCGGAGGAGAAAGAGGAAGCCATGTGTGCAGTGTGCTGTGGGCGTAGCGTGCTTAGCTTCATCGGCGTACCTATGCAGGAGAGAGGCATGACGGTGTGTTGCCGGCGACAGCTGCTGGCTTTTTGTAGTGAAGGCGTGAAGTAGGAGGAAGTCTCACCTCAGACAAGCCTGGTCACGATTACTGTTGTGCTCAAATTTTATATTATTTTTGAACATTTAATGACTCCCTTCGAAAATACTCCATTCTAAAAGTTATTGTTTTTTTCGTGCCATGAGCTCTCGATAAGATCTACAAATTCTTATATTTGAGTTTTTTTGTTTGAGGTCCTTAAGATGCTCAAAAAATAATATAATATTCTAACATCATATTAATCGCGTATTATGGCTTGTCACCTTAGAAAAATAATATCATTCTTGTACGGTGTCGAATAAAGATACTTTGTATATGAAAATTGTTGTTGTCGATGAGATTTATAAATTCCTGGTTTTGAGTTTTTTCGTTCAAGATCGTTAATATGGTCCAAAAATTGATACAAACTTCAAGGAGCCAAACATTACTGCCGCTGACATGTGGGTCCCATCTATGAGATCCATGTAAGCGCTAAATTGACATGCCACGTATGGAAGCGGGTCGAACCAAACCCAACACCACCTAAGACTCAGGCCCGGCCCTGGGGCGGGGTGAGAGGGACAACCGTCCCAGGCCTAGGGAGCCGGATGGGCCCCTCCCCAGGTACGCAGACACTAGTAGTATTCAGCGTATGTGAGCCTAGTAACAAACATACGTACGCAGAGTCGCAGACGTAGGCACGCCGCAGCAGCGACTCCTCGGTCCTCATGACGACGCGAGACGCTTTGAGCCTTCGACTGCGAGTCACGGAGTTGGTGACTGTTCACTCTCTTTCCTCTGCATACGACTACGACTCGGCCGCTCTGCGAGTCAGGTTGCTGTTATACTTTTTGGAATTATTTTAGATTCACATTACCGATAATTTTTCTATCCTTATTTATTTTGATATTGTTTGCCTATAAGAAATTTCTCAATGCTTATGCCTTAGCCCTGAATATCATTTGTCTTAGCCCTGAAATTTCTTCTAGCAGAGAGAATGGCAACTATTTCTCAATGCTTTAACCCTGAATATCATTTGCCTATAATTGTTGTATCCATATTTATTTTGATATGAACACACATCATGTAGGGATAGTCTGCCTTTTGTTTTGGGAAAGGCACATTCATATGTCAAGACCACTTGAACGATAAAGAGCATTTTATCAATTTTGCAAATAGGAGGGGCAATGCTCTCTATTTTTAACGTTATGCTGTTTTGCCTACTTTTTGGAAAGGATTCTTGGTTTCCTGTACTTATTAGTTTCCCCTTCAGTGCCAGAGCTTGTTGCCTTGCAGCCTGTTATGAACTTTAGGGCAGCAGCAGTCCCATGATGTCACTGTTTACAATCTAATTTATATACTTGCTCAGCTTACACGCTCAACCAACCCGCCCTGCAGCAATCCTACCAGTGTAGGTTGCAGCTGATTTTTATGCAGTTACATAGTTATAGTTCCATATTAGATTTGTAGCTATGGAATATATATATCCGGTCCCATCGCCTTACTTCATTTCATCCTTTTCAACACCTCTCTGACCTCAGATTCTTGGATTCTCCGCACAAAATGCCTATTTGTGTCATCAAAAAAGTCATCCAACTAAAAGGTTGTGTCCGTATTCTCACCATTGAACAATCTGTCAAAATAGTCTTGCCATCGATATCGGATCTCAACCTCCTTCACCAAGAGATGCTCCCTTTCATCCTTAATGCACTTAAGTTGGTTGAAGTCCCTTGTCTTTCTCTCATGAACCCTAGCTATCCTATAAATGTCCTTCTCTCCTTCCTTCGTACTCAAATGTTGGTAAAGATCCTCATACGGTCTACCCTTTGCCACACTCACAGCTCGCTTTGCAGTCTTCTTTGCCACCTTGTACTTCTCTATGTTGTCCACACTCCTGTCATGGTACAAGCGTCTATAGCATTCTTTCTTCTCCTTAATAGTCATTTGGACTTCCTCGTTCCACCACCAAGTATCTTTAGCATCGCCTCCACTTTCTTTGGTTACTCCACACACCTCTGAGACCACCTTCCGAATGTTGGTTGCCATCTTCTCCCACATGTTGTTTATGTCCTCTTCTTCCTTCCAAGAGCCATCTTTGATAACCCTTTCCTTGAATACCTCTGACGTCTCCCCTTTCAGTTTTCATCACTTTGTTCTTTTAATCTTAGCTTGTTTGTCCCTATGGGCACGCACCTAAAAATAAAAGTCTGCCACCAAAAGCTTATATTGAGAAACAACACACTCCCCTAGTATCACCTTGCAACCCAAGCATGCTCGTTTGTCCTTTCTTCTTACGAGGACAAAGTCAATCTGGCTAGAGTGTTGTCCTCTACTAAAGGTCACTAGATGAGATTCTCTCTTTCTAAAGAAAGTGTTGGCTATCATCAGGTGAAAAGCTACCGCGAAGTCCAGAACTTCCTCCCCCTCCTGATTCCTACTACCATACCAAAAACCTCCATGAACTGCCTCGAAACCTGCGCTTGTAGTACATACATGCCCATTAAGATCTCCTCCTATAAAAAGCTTCTCACTACTAGGTACAACTCTAATCAGGCCATCTAAGTCTTTCCAGAACTGTCTTTTAGCACTCTCGTCGAGGCCTACTTAGGGGGCATACGCACTAATTACGTTCAAGACCATATCACCAACGACGAGCTTGACTAAGATAATCCTATCTCCTTGCTTTCTCACTCCCACCACACCATTCTTGAGGCTCTTATCAATCAAAACTCCTACTCCATTTCTATTCACGACTGTCCCTGTGTACCAAAGCTTGAAACCTGTATTGTCCACCTCCTTCGCCTTCTGACCCTTCCATTTAGTCTCTTGAACGCATAATATATTTACACGCCTCCTAGTCGCGGTATCAACTAATTCTCTTAACTTACCTATAAGAACATTCCAACTACCTAAACGGATCCTAGTTGGTTCGACTAGCTTCCTTACCCTTCGCACCCGTCGACTCAGATGTGAAGACCCTTGCTCATTTTTCACTACACCCGGGCGCCGATGTAGTGCGCCACTAAGGAAGCGATGACCCGATCCTTGCTCACTT